ATTTGCATCTTCATTGCTGCTCATTATTATGATAAATGGGTTGCGTTAGATAAAATTAAAAGAAAAAAAAAAAAAAAGTTTTTATATATTCTACGATTTGTGATACGATAAACCTGTTAAAACCCGTCGAATTTAATTAGAATTCGCAAAGTTGTTATCAAAACCGTTGAAACTTTCAAGACTCATCGAAACCCATCGAAACCCGTCAAAACTATCGAAACCCGTCAAAATCCGTCGAAACCTGTCAAAACTGTCGAAACAAATTATGAAAAGTTTCGACTTTTGCCAAAATGGGTTTAGGGTTTTGCCCCGCAACTATAGGTGAATCCATATCGAGGTCTAAGCAACTGTGGTATCCAATGTCTGCCCAAAAGCATACGTTAGCTTTGAGATGTTTACGTTGGAAATTATCATTGCTGGTCACGGTTCCTGCAACTTTGACATATGTAGCAATAGCAGCCAGAACACAGGCTATAAGCATCAGGAAATAAATCATTTTGGTGTACATTATGAAATTTTTGAATGTTTGACAGGAAAACTTGGATTATACAAAAGAAATTCTGAGAGTAGAACGTTCTTCATGCTAGTTATATAATTGTACGATGTGGCCCTGTTTCATTGATAAAGCAATAAGGTTTTGTAAATAGTAAATAAATAAAATTGAACAATTTTGTGTGGACTTGATCCTTCGCAATATTGCGCAGTTTAATTCCGTGCAGTGGATGATTATTAATCACTGATTCCACGAATTATTACGGGTTTAATTATGTATCTGAGATTAACAGATTCAGCAATATTGCGCGAGATCAATTGCCGATCAGAGATTCCGCGGCGAAATCTGAGATTAATTGCAGATCCGAGTTTGTGGCATTTAATATTCAGCAATATTGCGCAGTTTTTTTTTGCGTAATGATGGAATTAATCTTGCGCAATAGGGCTGAATCTTGGATCTGCCACGATTCAGGAAATATTTCACAAAATTCAATCACGTCTCGGAATCTCGTCTTATTTTAGGAAAAAAGTTAACAAACACGAACGCACCGAATTATCAAAAATATTATGCGATTTGAATTATTATACCAAATTACAATCACATAAAATAAAATTCTTGTTTTAATTAATTTAAAAATTAACATAAAAATTAAAATTTAATATTTTTTAAATTAAATTTAAAAATAATAAATTAATTAAAATATTATGAAAATAATAACTTACCTATTATAATTTTTTAAGTTATTTTTATATAAAAAAATAATCAATAAATATAATTTATAAACTATAATATTATTATTTATTATATAATTATCAAATCAAAATAATTATGTAATTTAAAATAAATTAATATTTAAATAATTTTAAATTATATAATATTATATTATATAAATAAAATTTAAATATAAAAATATTAAATATTTTTATAATATGCAAATATTTATTAGTTTTAATTAGTACAAAAAAATAGTTAAAAAAAATAATTATTAATTAAATCTTTAAATTAATGATTATATTAAAATATAAAAAATATTAAAAAATTAATAATGTAACTTACAAGCTATAATATAATTAATTATTTTTATTAATTAAATTAATATAATTAAATAAAAAAAAATTAAACAAATATAAGTTTTTATAAAATAAAAAATACAAAAATTATAATTAAAAAATCAATAAAATTAATTTACAGTCTATTATAAAAATTATAATAATTTATTTTTAATTAATATTATAGTAATATATTAAAAATTATTATTATTTTATTACAATAATTTACTTTCTATAAATAATAAAAATAAATTTTTGAATAAATTTTAATTAGCATTAAATTTATATAATATATAATTAGAATATAATAAAAAATATTTTTTACTATCTGTAATATTTAAAAATTTTTAAATTAAATTTTAAATTAAATAAATCTATATATATTATTAAAAGTTTTTAAAAAAATAAAATTTTAATTAAAATTAGTTAATATAAAAATATAATTTAAAATAATTTACTTTAATTATATTTAATTCTATTAATTAAAGTTAATAATAATAACTTTATCATCTATAATAAAATAAATTTAATAAATAAATAAAATAATTTACTTTCTGTAATATTAAATATTTTTTCAAATAAATTCATAAATATAAATCAAAATAAAACAAATATAAAAATGTATAAATTAATTAGAAAAAAAAAATTATTATTTATAACAAAAATATTAATAAATTTATTATAAATATTAATAAAGAAAAAAAATAACTTACTAGTTGCAATGTAATTATGAAATAATTTTAAAAGTAAAAAATTTAGTAAATTTAAATTAATATAAATATATAGTTAATTAAAAATTTACCATCTAAAATTAATATATTTAATTTAGTTTAAGTAAATATTAATTTTAATAAATTAAAATAATTAAACTAATAAAAATATATTTAATTTCTATAATATATCAAATAATAAATAGATAATTAGTTACATTTAATTTAATATAAAATAATAAAATAACTTATTCCCTATAATATTTTTATTAAACATTTTTATATTTTAAAAATAAAAATTAGTTGATTTAATAAACAAAAATTTATAGTTGCATTTAAATAATATGTTGCTAATATATATTTTCAGTATCAATTTCTTGTTAAAAATAACTTACATCCTATAATGTTAAATACTTTTATAAATAAAAGATTAAATTATATTACTTAAAATTATTAAAGATAAACTTATTTTCTATAAAATATTGTTAATTATATAATTATAAATATTTAATTATTTAAATTACACATACAATAAATATTAAAACAGATTAAAAATTTACTATCTGTAATATTATATATTTAAATAAATTAAATTTAACTGAGCTTAATAAATAACGTAAAATAAATAAGGAATTAAATAACTTATAATTTATGACTATTAAAAATTAAAGTTTAATTAATACAAAAAATTTGTAAAGATAAATATATAATAAAATAAATATAAAATTATTAATTACAATAATTTATTTTTAATTATTTAATCGAATTTATTTATTCACAATATTTTTTTTTAGACATAAGTAATACAAATATAATATACAGTTAGACTCCTATATAGTTATACTGTATATAGTCATATCTTTATATAAGAATACATTTTTGCAAATGAATTTAAAGTCTATTAAATTACTTCTCTATAATCACAAATCAGTTATAATCACTATCACATGTAAATTGTAAATGTACATATCATTTCTATTAGAAGCCTACTAATGTTCTCATAAAATGCTATTTAGTAATAAACATTAAACTTAAACATCAAATTTGTGAATGGGTAAACAATAATAAAACAAAATACACAAAGAAATTGCTACCTATTTTAATAAAAATCTTAAATCTAAATATCAATCATAATACTATATCAAAGATATTGTCACAAAGTAAAAAATAAAATACTATATTAAAAGTTGAAGATTCTAAAGAAATTTACAAATAAAAAGGGTCAAATTTCTAGTATTTGACAAGGCTATGACTTTGTAAGTAGAAAGTTTAACAATAGATAGTGTGATTTTAACAGATTTATTAATAAAAGAAAAGGTAAGATTTTTTGCTAATGCATTTGGTATACAAGATGATGAGTTATCATTCTCTAATAGTTGGTTAGATAGATTTAAAAAATATAATAATATCTATTAGTATCAGATACATAGAAAATCTAAAAGTATACTAATAACATCCCTACTAGAAGAAAGAATAAAGTTTTATCAACTTTTGAGCCAATATACTTTTGATAAAATTATAATATTGATAAAAAGATCTTTATTATCAGATGTTTCAAATCAAACACTTATAACTAAGCCAGTTTATATGAGAAGAAGAATAAAATGCGGATTACAGTACTTCTTGGTATAAATACAATAAAAACTGATAAACTTAAACTATGGGATAATTGATAATACAAAATGTCTAAAACCTCTTTTAAAAATTAATCTAAAATAACGTTCATTCTATTATCAAAGAAATTCAAAAGCATAGGTAAACTCAATAATTTTTAAAGAAGTATTTCGTGAATTGGATAGTTATTTTAGAGTAAAAAATAAAATATTACTTTTATTGATAATGTACTGTCATACTTTAATTTACATTATTTACTAACCGAGTAAGATGAAGATTATGAAAAAGTGATTGAATTAATATTTGGTAAATTTTATATAAATTTTAATAAAATTTACTATTATCAATTTTAAAAAATTTTTTATAATATAAAATTTATTATCGAAAATTTAATTGTAAATTATAGTTTATTAATTATTGTAATATTTTTTTTTGTTATATATTTTTTTTATTTACATTTTTTTTATTACATAATTTTATTACATATTTTTTGTTACATATTTTTTATTATATATTTTTTTGTTACATATTTTTAAATAAATAAAATTTATTTGTTATTATATAATAGATATGATATAATTAGTAAATATTTAAATTAAGTAACTTATCTAATTTTTTTATATAGAAGATCAAACTTCAAGAGATCGTGATAATCATGGATCTAGAGGTCATGATAGAAGTTATGGTAGAGGTTGTGTAAAGGTTGTGTAGAGGTTATCATAATGGTGAATTAAGCAATTATAGACTAATATTTCTTAGCTTTAATTAACTCATGTTGAAGTAATTTTTTTGTCTTCTAATATAACAAGTTATTTTTAACCACTTAATACTAGAATAATTGCAAGTTTTAAAAATTATTATAAAAGAATTTTTGCTATTATATATTAAAACTCTTTGAAGACAGCAAAAATATTAGCAAAAAAAAAATTAATATTAAATAGGTAATCGATTATTTAATAAATACATGAGGACAGGTAACTGAAAATCTATACACAATTATTGGAAAAAGACCAAAATTTTACCTTCAACTGATGAAAGTATTAATAATATAATACAACTTCAACAAGATTCTACAGATTATTAAATAGCAAATATTGATCATATCATTAAAAAAATCGAAAAATTCAATGATGATTCTTATAATGCTTTATTTAAAAATACATTAATTGATTACTTTCATAAATTAGATGAATAAATTCTAACTGAAAATATTCTAAATAATGATAATATTATACAATTAGTTCAAGAAAAAATATATGATAGAGATAATATTAATGATGATTCTGAAGAAGAACCAATATTAGTATTGAATAAAGCTTTAGAATCCTTACAAACTTAAATTACATTTTTTACTAGTAATAAATAGATGAATTTAGCATTAAAAATAGTCAATTTTTAAAAAATACTTATAGTAAGATAGCTTGATTTTCAATCTTAAAAGCAAGTTCTGATTACTAATTTTTTTAGCAGCTATGAAAATTAAATTCAAATAAATTATGTATGCTAATAATTATTTTATAAATATCAATAAATATATATATTGTAATAGGATAACAGATTGGTAAAAGCTTTATTTATTATATATGTATTATATAATATATCTGTTAATTTATTAATCATTTAAT